TGTAGCAGTGACTGGACAGGCTGTGGACCCTCTAAGGGAGGAGGAGGAGGACCAGGAGAAAGTGGAAGACCAAGAACCTGCTGCAGGAGCGGTACGAAGTACGGTCGGGGCCGCGTGGCGACGCCAGAAACAGCAGGGACAGCACCAGTACCCCCAGTAGGAGTACCCGCTCCAGCAACACCTCCGGCAGCACCTCCAGTAGCTCCAGAACCCCCAGCAGCGCCTCCAGTAGCCCCAGAAACTCCAGCAGCACCAGGAGCATCGCCAGTCGAACCACCAGTGGTAGTCTCAGCGCCAACACCCTCAGCAGCACCAGCTCCAGGCGAACCCGCAGGCCCAGCAGCTCCAGTACTCCCAGTACGAGCACCTCCGGGACCCGCGGCAGCAGCACCCTCATCAGCAGAAGAACCTCCAGCACCAGCAGCACGCCTCCAGCGCCGAGCAAACCACTCACGCAGCTCCTGTGAGGAGAGTGGCTCTCGGCGAGACGAAGCACCCGGAGAACCTCCAGGCGAAGAACCTCCAGGCTCAGCACCCCTAGGCAAAGCACATCCAGGCGTAGCACCCCCAGGCTCAGCACCCCCAGGCTCAACACCCCCAGACTCAGCACCCCCAGACTCAGCACCCTCAGACTCCGCACCCCCAGGCTCAGCACCCCCAGGCACAGCACCCCCAGGCTCAGCTCCCGCAGCAGCACCAGAGTCACCAGTGACCTCGACAGGCTCAACCGCGTCTACCTGGGACACACCTGAAGGGGCAGGACCCTGAGGGGGGAGGGGGTCGACCGGGGGGGGACCTGGTACCAAGAAGAGCGGGGGCGGGGGGAGGGACGGAGTGCGGTAGGGGAAGAGGCGGTAGTAGGGTACCGACTCATCGAACGTGACATCCTAGGAGGACAGAACACGTCGAGAGGTGGGGTGGTAGAACTGCCACCCAGGGGCGTCGGGGGGGAACCCCAGGAAGACGCAGGGAGCACCGCGAGGGGACAGCTTGTCCGCAGACAAGTCGCGGACAAACGCCCGAGATCCCCAGACCCGGAACGCCGACGCATCGCCAACCTTCCCCGTCTACAGCAGGGCTGGGGAGGTCTCCGGCCTAGAGACCCTGGGGTGGAGGTTGATCTGATGCGCCGCGTACCTGACCGCAAACGGCCACAGAAAATGGGGAGCAGCCGCATGCATCATAGACGTACGAGCGACGTCCATGACCATGCCAATGCGGCGCTCTGCAATCCCATTTTGCTGCGGTGAGTCCGGAAGCGTGAAGGTCTGGCGGATGCCTCGCGCACGACAGTAGGCACTCAGAAGGCCAGAGGAGAACTCTCCGCCTCTGTCCGAGTGCAGACGCAACACAGGAAAGTCCGAGCCAAAGCTCAGCCTGAGCTGGAGACGAGCCGCGCGGATCCAGTCGGTCAGCACCTCAGTGACATCACCCTTGCTGCGCAAGGGGAAGACTGTGGTGTAACGCGAGTAGTCGTCAACCACCAACAAGAAGTAGCGCTCGTGACCGAGTCCACGGACGCGGGCAGGGCCCTACACGTCCATGTGAAGCGTCTGCAACGGAGCCTCTGTCGGAGGAAACTGGGAGGAGTGAGGGGCAGCACGCTGGCGCCCCTCGACACAGGGGACACAGGCAGGGCCAGGGCCATGAGGAAGGGGAGGGAGGGACCGGGGGAGACCAGACACAAGAAGACGGGAGGCCATGCCTCTGAGCCGAAGAAGGGAGGGGTGGCCAAGGCGGTGGTGCCAGAGGAGGGTCTCGTGAGACAGACGGTGACACGAACAGGGGGCAGACTCAGGACCAGACCTGGACGCTGCAGCAAACACCTGACCAGACGAAGAGACCCTACTAGACTCAGCACCTGGAGAAGAAGCAGTGGTCAGTGTGTACAGGCTCGACCCTGGCTGACGTGTAAACGTAGCCAGGTGGCGAGCTGTGCTAGCCTCTGTGCAGTGTGTCACCCGCTGACGAGCAGGAGTGAACTGGTGGACACCCGCATCCTGTAGGTCAGCACCACTCACCAGGTTCGTAGAGAACGAGGGGAGGTAGAGACCAGACAGGGTGCCAGAGGGAGCCGCCGGACACGGGAGGACTGTGGAGAAACGAGACAGTACAGGACCCCCAGAGGGGTCAGCCAGGGACACCGCAACCGGCCGACTAAGCGGCGTGAGAGTGGTGCGGTCCCGAAAGAAGGAGCGAGACGCCCCAGAGTCAAAGGTGAAGGTGTGAGAGGCCGAAGCCGACACAGTACCTGAAAGTGCAGACTCACCAGTACCTGAGAGCACAGACGCACTGGCACCTAGAGCAGCAGCCTCACTGGCACCTGACGCAGCAGTACCAATGCCCGGGTCGGGCGGGAAACACCGGTAACAGTCACCCTCATCACTAACAGTCACAGCATACATGGCAGCAAGGATAGCATCAAAGTCAAGATCAAAGATAGCTACACCAGCCCTAGACAGCTCTCCCCAGCGGGGGATCTCAGAGGCCTCCGGAAACTGCTGGCGCCAAGCGTCGGTCAGGCGGGCAAAGCAGCGGCGGGCGGTCTGGGTGCCCCCACACTCCTCACCCGCGCGGTCGCCGGTGCGAAGGACGTAGGTGCAGGGACCGAACGCCCCACCACGCTGACGCTGCAAGTACCACTCACGGAGCTGCTGAGGGGCGGGGACGTCGCGAGAGCGCTGCTGCTGTTGCTGTTGCTGCTGCTGCTGCTGCTGGCGCTGACACCCCCAGTGCTGCTCCGCTGGGACGAGCCACTCCGACCACCTCCACCACCGCCACCCCCGCCTCCGCCGCCACCGCCGCCACTGCCACCCTCGCCCCCGCCGCTCCCACCGCCACCTCCACCGCCACCTCCGCCACCACCTCCGCCTCCACTGCCGCCACTAGTACCTCCACCCCCGCCCCCACCTCCACCGCCACCCCCACTCCCCCCGCCGCCCCCACCTCCTCCGCCACCGCCCCCGCCAGCTCCACCCGCTCCCTTGCCCCCTTTGCCCTTGCCAGAGCGGCGCCTACCGCTGGGGGCAGACGCCGCACCGACCGACTCTAGACCAGCGAGGTCGGCCGCAGCAGCAGAGGCGACAGAGGGTAACAGGGGGGAAGGAGAACACCCCTCAAAGATGGGGGTGCGGGGGTCACCACGAGAGGCCCCTACAGCGACTATGCTCTTCTCGGCCGCTAGTAGGGACTTCTCGAGGAGGTCGACAGTGAGGGTGGTGGGACAGACAGAGAGAAACTGGTCCCTAACAGCACGAAGGGACTCAGGGAGACGGGTGACTAGAAAGTAGAGGGTGATGTACATGGGAGGGGGGTTTTCGGCGCAGAAGGCAGCAGGAAGCGCAGCTCGGTAGCGAGTGTCACTAGCGCGAAGGTGGGTAAAGAGGTCAGCGTCTGTAGGAAAGGCAGCAAGGTCAGGGAAGATGTAAGGTAGCATGAGGCGGCTCAGTGTAGCAGTGGAAGGGGAGGAGTAGCGCGCAACTACAGCGTCGTACAAGGCCTGAGCGGTCTTGCACTGACTAAAGTGTGCACGCTCAGAGGAAGGGAGGTGGCGACGCACAGCAAGACGTGCAGCAGCATCGCGTGTGGCCCACTTGGAGCGAACAGAGGGGTCAGCATCGGCAGGAGGGGCAGGGACAGCGCCAGAGGCAAAGTCAAAGAGAGAGATATCGTCTACTGAATCGCACTGCAAGTACAGCTGCAGGTCCTCGACCCAGACCGCAAAGTCAATGGCGCGACCCTCAGCGTCAAAGGCCAGGACACTAGGGGTGGCCATGATAGCAGCCAACAGTCTCACCAAAGAGGAAGGGTCGAGCAGCTCAGGAGAACAGCAACACGGCAGCTCTGCGACTCCGCCGGCCCAGAAGTAGCAGCAGCCCCACAGGACCCGGCGCTCGGCACCGTAGGCGGCTCGGGCGGCTCGGGCGGCTCGGGCTGCTCCGGCGGCTAGGGCGGCTCGGGCGGCTCGGGCGTTCAGCGGCACGGGCGACTCGGGCGGCTCTGCTGCTCGGGCAGCGCGCGCGGCTCGGGTGACGCGGGTGACACGGGCGGCGCGGGCGTCGTGACGGGCTGCTCACGGGCGGCTCACGGGCGGCTCACGGGCGGCTGTACGGGCGGCTGCACGGGCGGCACTGGCGGCTCACGGGCGGCACGACGGGTGGCTGCACGGGCGGCTGCACGGGCGGCTGCACGGGCGGCTGCACGGGCGGCTGCACGGGCGGCTGCACGGGCGGCTTGACGGGCGGCTGCACGGGCGGCTGCACGGGCGACTCACGGGCGTCCGAGGGCGGCTGAGGGCGGCTGACGGGCGGCGCACGGGCGGTGGACGGGCGGCCCACGGGCGGCTCACGGGCGGCTCGTCGGGCGGCTAAGGGCGACGCGCGGACGGCGCGTGGGCTGCCTGGGGCCTAGCGAGCGGCGCGCGGGCTGATTAGGGCGGCGCGCGGGCCGCTTAGGGTGGCGAGCGGGCTGCTAAGGGCGGCGCGCGGGCTGCTAAGGGCGGCGCGCGAGCTGCAAAGGGCGGCGCGCGGGCTGCACAGGGCCTGGACGGGCGGCGCGCTGGCGACGTGAGGCCTGAACGGGCAGCGCGTGGGCGGCTAAAGGCCAGTCGACAGAGTAAGAGAGAGCCCGGAGTGCGCTCCGGGCAGAAAAAAAGTTCGAAGTAGTGGTGGGCCCTAAGCACAGTTCCCACAGGGGAACCTGCTCGATACCATGAGAAGAAGTGAACGAGGATGAATCAACTATGAATGAAGTGAGTACATATAGGAAACCCTGATTGGGTTGTACCCCCTATGGGATACCCCACTATAGCCTACACAAATATATATAAGCTATAATGTTCTGACACCATCTCGCCGCAGGGAGACGAGACGATGCACCGGGAAAGGCGCCCCACACGAAACACAATGTGTTCAAGCTCTGATGCGTCTCAAATGCCCATTTTCACAAATTCCTTCTGATCCCTTCTGATCTCATCCATTTCGCGGCAGGACGACGCGACAATGAACCAATCAGACGCGTCGCAAGGACCGCTAGACGGCGTGCAAATCGTCAGTGAGGGTACGCTGACGTACGATGGCCGCTACAGATGCTACAGCATCTCCGGAATCAACTTCGAGGTTCCCGTGCGCTACGTCCCGCTCTTCCCCCTTGGCCGAGGAGCCTATGGTGTTGTTTGGTGAGTCATGGGTATTAGAATGAAGCGTGACGCCAGCGCGACTATGCGAATTATTGGAATGTTGAGTCAGCGGTATGATTAGAATCACTGGGAGCTATAAGAAAGCGATATTCTAGTCGTCATCACTAACTTTCATTTGAATCACATTCTTGACTCGTTACCACTCCTTGCTTACCGGACTTGAGTATTGATCTCATCCAATTCCGTTCACTTCTTTCCCCTCTTTATGATCGACCTATACTGAGCTCTGAGCGTATTTCTTATGTCATTTTTGGAAATTTCACCTTTTCCTCACTTTTGGAAGGGCCTGAACAACTTGGAAGGAGATAACGAATATGGTTGTTTTTGCCTCTCTTTTTTGTTTTTTTTTCCATCAGCTCTGCACGAGATGAGACGATCGGGGAGGAGGTGGCGATCAAGAAGATCGGCAACGCGTTCAGCGATCGCACAGATGCCAAGCGGACTCTCCGCGAGATTCTGATCCTCCGCAACATGAACCACCCCAATGTGAGCAGACTATGTGGATAGATGAGCACTCCTAGGCACACACTCTTGAAAATTCAGATTGTACTCCTCCGCAACAGAACATCTAAATTGTGTTTGAGCTCATGCCTGCGTTGCTTTTGAGTCGACTCAAAAAACAGTTGCTGTGGTTAGGTGAGCACTCTCACACTATTGGAAAGTAAGACTGCTCCTCTGCAACAGAACATGTAAATTGTGTTTGAGCTCATGCCTGCGTTGCCCTCCCACGCCCATCCCACTCCCCTCCCATTCACCGCCCCCCCCCCCCCTCCAGGTGATTGCCATCAAGGACGTCATCCGTCCGCCCAACCCGCTGAGCTTCCAGGACATGTATATCGTGTATGAGCTCATGCCCGAGGACCTGCACGGGGTCATTCGGTCCGGGCAGGACATGGATGAACGGCACTACACGGTGTGTGTGTGGGAGGCAGTTCAAGGTATTAACAATAGAACGTGAGCTGTGGGAATACAAGGTATGACAGCAGTTGTTGGGGTGCAATTGTGTATGACCTCATGCCCACGGACCTGCATGGTATCATTCGGTCTGGGCAGGACATGGATGAACGGCACTACACGGTGTGTGTGTGTGGCAGTGCAAGGTGTGTGTGTGGCAGTGTGTGCCCCCTTCCCCTCCTCTCCCTAGCCCATCCTCTTCCAGCTGCTTCGAGGCGCCAAGTACATCCACTCGGCCAACATCCCTCTTTTCCCTTCCCTTTTTCGTTCTCCCGGCACAAAAATGCCATGCTTCTACCCCGATCTCTCCCCCCTCCCTCTTCTCTCCCCAGCGCATCCTTTTCCAGTTTCTGAAGGGAGTCAAGTACATCCAGTCGGCCAACATCCTGCACCGCGACTTAAAGCCCCCCAACATCCTCATCGACGGGCGCTGCAACATCAAGATCACCGATTTCGGCCTTGCGCGAACCCGTGTGGAAACCACCGACCACCTGACCAAATATGTGGTTACCAGATACTACCGCGCTCCCGAGCTGCTGTTGAACAACCAGCAGTACAGCGCTTCCATCGACGTGTGGTCGGTGGCGCTCATCTATCTGGAGCTCGTGCTGGGGCACATTGTGCTCAGAGGCGATAACTATGTGGACCAGCTCTGCAAGACCTGCGAGGTGCGGCTGAAGGGAGGAGGGACAGCAGAGGGGAGTAGGGGTAGGGGTGAGAGTGAGCAGGGCCTCCTGCTTCCTACAAGGCTTTCCTTACATTTTCCCCTCTTGTGCTTTGCTCCCCTAATTGTTCTCCTTTCACCCACCAGCTGATTGGATCTCCATCAGTTGAAGACGCCTCCTTCATAGTCAACGATGCCGACCGCACCTTCCTGCCCCCAGAGCTGCAGGCCTTGCCTGATCTTTTTCCCTCTTGTGCTTTTTTCCCCCACTTGTTCTCCATCTCCCCCTGCATTGCTGTCACCACACCAGCTGATAGGATCTCCATCTGCAGAGGACGCCTCATTCATAGTCAACGATGCCGCCCGCACCTTCCTGTTCTCAGAGCTACAAGGCTTCCCCGCGCGGAACATCAGGGACGTGTTCCCCAAGCTGTCGGAACCCGCGGCTGACTTGGTGCAGCGCATGCTCGGGTTCGACCCGAGAAGGCGAATCACATTTGACGAGGCATTGGCCCACCCGTACCTGGCGCACTACCACAAGGCGAATCAGGACCCGCCGCACCCAAACCCCTTCCAGTTCGACCTGAGCTTCGAGCAGGAGGAGTATGACATCCCCCGCATCCGCCAGCTCATCTTCGAGCAGGCCTGCGCCTTCAACCCCCAATAAATCCCCAATTTTAGCTTTCAGTACACCCCATTTCGAGAACTGAACGGAAGGGAGCGATGTGTGCCGTACTGAACGGGTTGCATGTGGCATACTGTACTACTATGTGCTTCTGCGGGCCAAGACGTTACCAAGGAAGAATCCAATTTGAGCTGGCACGCACGCTCCTTCCATCCTCTGGGATTTGTTTGTGCTTGGCGCCAATGGAATGATGTGTGTGATTATCCTGTTAGAGCATTGCAGCTTAGTGTTGTCTCATGATAACAAGGCCGACCACATGTAGAATGTAAGATGTTTTCCCGCATATGTATTTATCTGTAGCTGTTGGTTTGTACAACCGTCATAAGGCCTTCGTTGTGCATAGGATGCTCAATAATCAAAATTCTTAGTTCTGTTTTGCACGGAAACTTAGTTTTATGGTAAGATATTAGGGCGTGTGTCCTTGAGGTCGAACGTTTGCCAAAGCTCGAACTTCTAGAGAGGCTGTACACGGTAGGATACAGTTGAGAGTCGTGTCGCCACGGTACAAAGCGGTATTAGGCTCAAACTTTGACAATCTACACCAAAAGACACGCGCCCTTATGGTCGTTCTGGGGCGTCGAAACACCTACAGTCTCGCGTCAGCTAACATCAAGGTTCTCAGATTCCATGGTGCCCCCAGACAGGAGTGGGTCAAGCAGCAGTGATTTCCTACTCATGCTTTCCGTGAACGTCAGGGAGGTCTCTCTCAGCTTGTTGTCGGGTTATCGCTGTGATTCTGCATTTCAGTTGGTAACATCGAGCTCTTGTAGACTCAGATTTGGAGTGTAAGCCGCAGTTTCTTTCTCTTAGCATAACCTACACGCAAGGGAATGCCGAGTTCGCTGCTGGCCTGTCGTATGCGTGTGGAAGGATGCGCCTCAATCCACGTTTTATTCCGGTGGCTTCAAAACCGTCATGAAGACTTATCACCTCACGCATAAAGAGTTCGCAAGGATTTCATGAGTTAATGTCTCAAAAGGAGGTTAACAACAATGATTTCTTTACAGATGAAGAGGTGTGTTTATCCCGGCAAAGGCCTGGTAGCTTCAGCTATTCATCGTCCTTCATTTGTCAAGCTCAATCAGCCTAGCAACGTTTTCAAAGCTCCAGCTCGCCTGCATCAGGAGGGTGTTTATCGTGTCTGTGAAGCCAGGAAGATGAAATACGGCATGGCTGCAGTCGAAGGCAGAGCGACGTCGACGAAATGTAATGCTTCTGACAACAATACTTAGAACGTTATTGTGGAAAACGAAGCAACGAAGACCTCAGCAAGTGATATTGAAGGCCTTCCTATGTTATGACCGTGCTGGTGATCGTGGGCTCTTCCCCGTGGAAGGGTATCTTGGTGTAACTCTTAAGTTTCTCCGTCCTACAACGGCGTTTTTCAAGTTCAAAGCGGGTTTCATAGAGCCAGCTCACCATCACATCCTTACTCACGACGTATACCTGATTTCAGGTCGCCAGATTGTTCAGAATGTGACCAAAGGAACCACTCTGGAAGTAAACGCAGGAGATTTTCTGTCCACGCCTGGAGACGTTCACCGTGTGCTGTACCTGACAGATGCGGAGCTTTTTGCCAAGTTTGACGGAACAGATGCCATGGCTCTTCCTGAGAATAACAAGATGGAGGTTATTGAGACTGTAGAAGAGGCTCGAGAAGCCTTCGGTGACTATATTCACCTCGTTGGTGAGAATTGAGACCGGTTGGGTACCATCTTGTTGATGCTGCCATGTATTTGACTCATTCCCTCTTGCAGGTGTAAATGGTGTTAACGTATGCTGATGCTGGAGAAAGAATTTGTACATCATTAACGAAATAAATGAGGACTACCTAATCAGCTCAGCATGCAAATTGTGTCCAAATTCCCAAACCTGGAAATTCTTTCATTTTCCATGTGGAGATTGAAATGGGCTTTGCATTTAGTTACTGTTCACTTTCAGTCAGGGGCACTATTATTAGCGGAGCGGTCACTCGCAGTACTTGATGAAGGCAGTCCCCCGTTTGGGGGTTTGCGCCTTTCGGCTCCAAAAATTGCGGGTAGGCACAAAGTAGGCGCCCGCCCGACCAATGAGTGCTCATTGATGGGATGTCAGCACGATCCGCCGTCCCATACGGTCATTGGCGAATCACCTCAATCCCTCGACAAGGACGGTAACCTGATTTATTGTCGCTGAGGGAGTTTGTCCTGCGAAAGCTGATTGTGTTGAAGTACGTCGTGGGTTCTTTGTGCTGCTATGTGTACATGTGGCCCGCGCGATTTCACACCTGAAGCATGAACGATATCGTAATGGATTTGGCGCTAGAGACACAGCAGTTTTGCTTACGCAACATCGGTTCGCGCTTTCGCACTGTTGCTGCTGCTATCGACTTCCGTGCATTCGCAAGAAGCCGTGACCAGTTCAGCTGAATCTTGAAGCCCTTCTTCTTAAAAGACGTTCCCACTAATTCCCGTAGACCTAAGGCTACGCGACGAATTTCTCTCAGTGTCAGGGCAAGCTCACCCTTCCGCGAATTACTGCCAGTCACCGCCATTAGACGACATTTTCACTGATTCCCGTAGTCCTGTAGACCTAAGGCTACGCGGCGAATTTTCTCGTAGTGTCAGTGCAAGCGCAAAGACTCAATGTTATCAAGTTCGCCGTCGGCCTACTGCACGTGGCTACAGCGAAGGATATTGTAGTAGGCTTTGCCGCAACTCCTAAAGCGGTTTCGCTACAGTCACCACTTCACTGCACTTGCAACTAGCTTCGTTGATGCAAAATGTCATTTCTTCCTCTTAACCGACACTCCCACTGATTTCCGTTGACCTAATTTACTCAACTAATATCTCGCTAAGTGTCAGTGCCAGCACACGCAGTTTCGCCAGTCACCGCCAGTTGACGAAACATGCAAGGGGCGGGAGCGGAGGGTCCTCCGGTAGAGCGCGGGGGAGGGGGAGGGGGAAGGGGAGGGCGTGGCGGAGGCTGGGGTAGAGGCGGAGAGGGCATGTCAAAGCGGAAAAAAAGATTGGTGGACCTCACGCCCGAGGAGGTTTGTGCTGAAGCTTGTTATTTGAAAAGTATAAAAAACCGCATCACTATATGAGGTGCCTCAAAGGTGGACCTCCCACCCGAGGGGGTCCGTGCTGAAATGTGTTTCTTGGTGGAGGTGTGGTGTGTGAGATTGCAGCTCTCACCTGTGACTCACGTCACTGTGTGTAACCCGTTAGGTGTTCCTGATATCCTCGTTTTCATGGGCTGGCTGACCAAACTCCTTCTTTTCCTCCGTTGTCTTTCTTTCCCCATCTTTCCCTCTCTTTTCCCCCTGGTCGCCTCCTCTTTGGCGTCCCAACCCCCGTCGCTCCCTCCTTCCTCGTGAAATGAGCCGTGTTTTGATTCGACTCAAAACACGGTCCAAACTCCGTTCTCTCCTCCGATGTTTTTCTTTCCCCAACTTTCCCTCTCTTTTCCCCATGGTCGCCTCCTCTTTGGCGTATCACCGACCCCCTGTCGTTCCCTCTTTCTCCCCACAAATCAGTCACACGTGACTATCGCCAAATTGATGGCAGAGAGACGCAATTCCTTCTGTCCCTTCATCTGTCCCTGCCTTAACCCACGTCGCTTCCCCTCTCACCCTTCCTTATCCCTCAGATCAACGAAATTGTGGCATTGAGGGGGAAGCTACCGCAGGCGGTGGTGGGGAAACGGTTTGGGATAGAGCAGACGGATGTGAGCCAGATTCAGAGACAGCAAAAAGGGAAGCTTATGAGAGCTGATGACAAACCGGTAAGAAGTCAACATTGCTTATGCACTATCACCTTCTGTCTAGCGGTTTGGGATAAAGCAGACGGATGTGAGCCAGATCCAGAGACAGCAGAAGGGGAAGCTCATGAGAGCTGATGACAAACCAGTAAGGGAAGAACGGTATAAGATGATTTATACGTTACAAACTGGTGGCTGGAACCGAACACACACAGGAAAGGCAGATCAAGGGGCTGCTGAAGGGGCGATGTGTGAGTTGTGACAATTAACGGGTGTGCTGAAGGGGCGATGTGTGAGTTGTGACAATAAACGGGTGTGCTGAAGGAATTGCAACACGTTGGCGTAGCAGAACTGATAGTGTAGCTGGACGTTGGGATAGAGTAGCTGGACGTGAGTGTGGTTTTGGAACACGCAAAATGGCCGTTTTGTGATTCTGTCGATAAGTTGGCAAAGAGAGGACAGTATATTTACTCCATCCATTCTATGCTTCTGGGTGGTTTGAGAAAAAGCAGACCAGAACGAAAGGGTAAGCTTATAAGCGTCAACAATATGTTGTTAAGGTATTATTTTCCTTATGTTCCGTATTTTCTTGCCTCCATCTTCTCACACTTCCCTGGTTAAGCCTTTCCCCACTGGAATAGTGCTCTTCCATGTTCGCTGTTTTCCCAGAGCTGACTCAAAAGTCATATTCCCAATCACATTCCTAGTTTTCTCTCTCGTTTCTTCCCCTCGTGCGTGTCCCTTCTTGTAGAGAGCTCGGGACGTGGAGGTGGTGCTGCCTATTGTGTTCGGCAGCTGTGCCTTCTGGCTGGGGAAGAAGGCCGATGAGTGAGTTGCAACCTACCGTTCCATCTTTAAGTCTTTCTCAAGATATATCACTCAGTAACTTCACTGGTCGTACCTTGTGATTGTTCAGCTTGCACAGAATATTTCGTCTGGACTCACACTTGTTTGGCATAGTTCCCCTTCTGTATTGAACCTCTCTTCACCACTCTGTCTCCACCACCATCACCACCACTGGATATCCTCTCCGTACAATCCCATCACCAGGAACGCCACACACAAGTGGACAGTGTATGTGCGGGCAGCTGACAACGGCGACCTTGGTAGTGTGGTGAAGAAGGTATGGTGGTGCCAGCCAGAGAGGGCGGTGGGTTGATTAAGATATATGAATCACTGCTATGAATGAGTGAAGGTTGTGCGGGCAGCTGACAATGGCGACCTTGGTAGTGTGGTGAAGA